CTACCTGAACCTCACCAAGGTACAGAAGTCCAAATGAACAAAAGGAGTGTGAGGCTATATTGTTGCATTTATTTTATTAGTTTGTTTTGGATGAGGTTTTTCAGGATGTCTCTATTTCTGTCATGTTTGGGCTGCTAGCGAAACAAGGAAGCAAAGGAAAAGCTTCATGGCCTATACCAGGTATCATGAAACTTCATGTAATGCAGCTGTCAATGCCTGGTTCTAGTACAAAAGTACTGAGTAAGGGATGATGAGAGCATTAGCTCCCTGATATTGGACTGGGAACTTCTGTGAGCAATTAGAGAAAAGCTGCAAAACTGTGCAGAGATGGAGAGTTTGTGTTTCTTCCCCTCCAAAGCTTTGGGCAGTGGGCTTGCTCTCTTCCAGTGCATCTCTGCTGGGTGTTACTGCAGAGAGAGAAGAAACACATCTTTTCCTTTTTTTGCATCAGTAAGGCTGACTCCTTACTGGTGCCCTGTGTACAGATAGCCAAGCACAAAAAGGAACATAAACTTCCCTCTCTTATCTGTGAAATAATTTCTTTAGAAAGGCAAAGAATTTGAGCCCTAGCAGTGTTTGTGATTAATACCTGCTTCAAATCTTTGAAACATTTGTTTTGTGACAAAAGATTAATCACAGTAGATTATCAGTTTTAAAGGTCTTTGGTTTATTTTTTGTTGCTGAAAATTACGTGTATTTAAAAAACAATGAATATCTCTTCCTAGGAATGTACATACTGTCTTCATCTGTCTTTTTGTATGAGCCTGCTACATGTTGCCAAGTCCTATGGAATTATTTCCAGTCTGTTTGAATGTTTTTTTCCCCTTATTCAAGTATAAGCACAATGACAAATCAAAGCTGCAGTATGAAATGTGTTTTGCTGGGAAATGACCATGGTGAATTCGATGCCGTGCTGGTTACTTGCTGTATTTCAAGGGGGAAGAGCTATATTTGATCTTGGGGGCGGAAGAGAAAACCACAGTGTGCAGGCTGCTGGCTGCTCCGTTGCTAATTCATTGGCAGTTTGGGGGAAAATATATCTCCATTTTCTCTTTATTTTTTAGGCCAGATATTAGCATGAAATATGGCTCTAACCATTTCAACAAGAGTTCAGTGTAAAATTTAATTCCTTGGATATTTTTCTATTTTTCAGAGCAATAACTAAGTCTTTTAACTCCTGCAAATCATAATAAAGAGTAAAATAAATAAAGGTAAAAAGCCACTGCTCCTTTAAATCAATGTCACCAGTGACTCAGAATATCTATTGATTTTTTTCTTTATTCCTACCAGCAGTTTAGTTTGAGATTCAGCAGGTCCACTCTGAGAAAATTCTGCATAAAGCACTGCTGGACGTTCTTGGTTAATACTGCTTTTTGAATTCTGTTTAAGAAATTTTAAGTAAGTAAAAGTAATTATATCTGTAACATGTTAAAACATCTATCTAAAAGGCTAGTATAATTTCCAGTTTATAGCTCTTGTTACGTATTTTTGAGTCCATAATTACTGGAAAGTATAAATTTATATATTTAATCAAATTTTTTCAGACAACATCTATGCAAATTTAAAAAGTCAATTACATTCCCCCAGACATACTACTTTCTGAATATAACAGAATTGCAGCATGATTTTGAAAAAAATCCCAAACAACTAGGCTGTATTTTCCCTGCAGATAGTGTCTGTATCAACAAATCATCTGGACAAAATGATTATGGGCAGTTTGTCTTTACCCTTTGTAATGTGCTAAGCAAATTTCAGTGCTTCATCCCCACATGAACCTCTTGCTAATTGGTGTTTATACCATGTTTGTCAGTTTATTCCTGCCTTTTTGTGAGACCAATTCCAGATGTGCATCAGCTATTATTCCATGTGGGATTGTGTGACAATATTCCACCTGCAAGCCCAGTGGAAGGAAGGTAAAGGATGGTAACCTGAGGCTCTGTGAAATCGTGAAAGCTGCAGAAAAATAAATGGGAAGAGCAGCCATTAGGGAGAAGAGCAAGATGCATGTGTAGAATAAAAGCTATTAATAAAAAGCTTTGCCTCCTGAGTCACCATGCTTCCCATATAAATTTCCATCTTGGCATGTGGCCACGGCTGTAATTGTTTGCATTAAAAAGTAGTATCAGGAATGTAATGTATTTTTAGCTGTCACTACAGCAGTAGAAACCAAAAAAAAGGTTAACATTGTACTGTAAGCCAGTTTTCTAAAGACCATCTGAGATCTGTGAGATCTGTGGTTGTAATTTGGAAACCTTTGGCAAGAAATATCAATGTACAACACAAACATCTCTGAAATTCCAGAGACATACATTTGTAGCTGAGGTATTTGTTACTTCCTATGTATAGATCTTTCTGAAGTCTTCTGCCATTTCACAAACAAGCTTAGATGGTCCCTCTCCATTTTCACTTGGTTGGCTTTCATTCTGTTTCCTTAGCAGGCAGTAAGTTTTTTCTTTGTTTTCAGGATTATGTACTAGAGAACTTTACTTGTTAAATGTATCTTCACTTCCATCAGCCTTCGAAGGGAGGCCTCTGAGAAGTCTGTTAGCTCTCTTACACATTTGATTTTCTACTGGTTTGGAAATTTGGAGGTTAACATAAAAGAGCTGAAATGCATATCCTGCATGGGGAGTGAAAAACATTAAGAAATAAATTGCTAGTGTACTTTTGTGCAAAGAAGAATTAATTTAAGAAAGCCACACTGAATGGAGTTGAAATTTCCTCTATTGTAATTTTAAAATGCCAGATCAGGAAGAGGCCTTGAATATGAGTGGTGTCTAAAGTCCATGGCTGACAGTTCATCATTGAAGAGTTCTTTGGCTGTGTACCTGAAGAAAGAGAGATATTGTTAATTTACATTGTAAAGAGTAATGAATATAAAGCCCAGTGCAAGGAGGATTAATCATGAAGATAGGTCACTGTTGAATGCCTGGCGCTCCCTGAAAATGTGACACCACCTGATGTATTTAAGTATTGTTAGGACCCTGTGCTGTAGCTGTTATGAGAAGGACTCTGGAGCTACATTGTAAATCAAATAACTTCATCTGATGCACATGAAGTTGGTGCAGTGGCCTTGCAGGGGAAGAGGGTGACAAGAATTCCCAGTTTGTCTCAAGGAGCCCCTGTCTCTTGAACAGTAGCAGTATCAGTAAATAGATTGAGCAGGAAATCTCCTTTATGAAGGAAAAATGGAGGGAGAAGTGAGATGAAAAATAGCTAGAATACAGGAGAGGAAGAACTGGAGAACTCCCCAGATCAAACCAATAGAAACATGATGACCTGGGAAAAAAATGAAAGAATTAAAGCCAAACTGTGTAAAAATTAAAGCTAAACTATTTAAAAATTTAAAAAGTCATTGGGACCAAAAAGAAAAATCTTAAGCAATGGAGAAATAGAGAAAAAGACAGATTTGTAGAAAAGATAGTGATTTAGTTTTGGTCTATGCCTTTTGTGAAACATGAGTTTAGAAGATCTTTGGTAACTAGATGAAGAAAATCTTTAAAATCATTTAATTAGATTGAAGGCCAAAAGGTAAACTCTTGTGATAAGCAAAACATGTTCACTGTTCGCTTACCTTCCAATTGATTTTCCTTCTTCCTTTTGCAGACTTGTCATTTTTTCTGTAGTTTTTACTACTCTTAAGCAACCATTGCCTCATGTTCTACATTTTTATGATATAAAGATTGGAAGGGAAGCAAGTTTATCTATGTATGAGAAAAAACTCTCCCCACCTACTGTCCAGCAATACCAGCTATGAGGGATGATTTTCTTCCTTTCAAGTCACTTCAACTAGAGAATTTATTTCTTGATTTATTACTTCCTTCAAATGTAATTTATTTAGGTTGTTCAGGTGTTCATTCAGAAACACACTGAATTTAAATTTTATCTTTTTGGGTGTAAATGATATCTTTACTAAAAGAAATCAGTGATCTCAAACACTTACAGTTGTATTTAAAGATCTGTCAGTTTTATAATTTATATGTTTTACACTAATAAACATGCAGTTATTATTGGCATTAAGGTCACCATATTACTTTTTGTTTGGAAAGAAGCAAACATCACTGTGCATTTATTGGGCTGTGTTATACAGTGTTTAGTGGAAATGGACTCCTCTGCCTGCAAGATGCAGCTTTGGAAACAAAACTGCTTCACTGATAATTAACATGTTAATCTGATGTGCCATAAAGCCATTGTGTCTAAAAGGCCATTGTCCTGTGCTTTTCTAGAGCTTGGTTTCTTGCCTCATCATTTCAAGTAGAAATTCTTGAGTGCTAAATCTGAATTAAATGGAACACTCTCTCTACATCAACATACAGAAGCTTTAAATTACATTGAATTACGTAGGCATGAACTTGACAAGATATCCTCAACCAGTGACCTGCTAAGAGTCTTTCCCAAAGAGAATTGAAGGTCACCCATTGTTATTTGTGTGGTAGAGACTTGATTGCACATTGATTTGAAGCTGGGTAGATTTTTCTGTCTTTATGTCTTTATAATGCTGTTAAAACTGTTATTTACACTCTCTTACTGTACTGTAATGCCAAAAGAAAGGTCACAGAAATTTGTGTTTTTACATTTCAATATATAAGAGAAGGTTATGGGTTAGCAGAGGTGAATGAAAAGCTTTTTTCATCCCTCAGCCGAGTAAGCTGTGAGATTTTGCATTCATTTGGGTTGGGTTTGATCTTTTTTAAAAGCAAGGGCTTTTTTTCAATCCGAGCATTAGGTTTTTGCAGTGAAATTTGTGTTCAAAGTTTGGTTTTAGTATCTTCTCTTCAGCTGTTTGATTTTTTGCATTTCAGTATCTTCTGTAGCTTACAGCACCCTAATAGTTCAATGTCCTTAAGCAAAAATAGAGTAAGAAGAACTTAATCCAGAAGAGTGCATCTGTTTTGCCTTATAGATTGTTTGATAATGGCTGGTTCATAACTGCAGATTTTTAGAATTCACTTTCAGTGTGTGCTGGTCTGAACTTTTTATTCTTGTTTTCTTTTTTGTAGATTACAGATAGAAGAATCTTCTAAACCTGTAAGGTTATCCCAGCAGCTGGACAAAGCTGTAACCACGAACTATAAACCAGTGGCTAATCATCAGTATAATGTAAGTAGCTTTTAATATTTTCCCTTCTTTTCTTCAGGAGGAATTTGGCTTAGGACTCCAGGACTGCTCTGCTGCTGTCCAGCAGCTCTTTTGCTCACAGTTGGCCACTGTCTTTGTCAATGCTCTATGTCACCTGATTTCTCCTTGATTTTGTCTTCTGGGGATCTTCTTTCTGTCTCAAGACCAGTATTACCCTTGGGGCTAAGGTCTGCCAGTCGTAACTGTCTTGTGTTATCTGATGGAGGGCAGACCACCTTCACCCAACCCTTTTTAGTGGCTTTATTACAGTCTTCCTCTAATCTTTTTTTTAATGTAATTTTGACATTTGTGGATGAAAAACAGTTCTGGCTTTGTGCTATGAGATGTGGAAACGCTCTTTTGAGCCAAATAACTTTTCATCTGCAGGAGGGTAAAGGACTTGAAAAGAATCATTAGTTTCCAGTCCTTTGGAGGAATTAGCAACAAGTAGAAAAGAATAACAGCTGACAATTTTTCTCAGTTTCCTACCTTCAGAATACATGCTATTGGCATCATTGGCTTTGTCAGTATTACACCCACACTGCTGTTCCAGATCGGTTGATGTACATATAAACTATAACGTCCTTTTCCTTAAAGATACTCTTTGAGTATGTTGAATGTGAGCAACATTAAGTCATACTGAAAATGAATCACTGTGTTAGTCATTTAAACTTTTACACTTTTTATTAAGATTTTATTTACATAAAACAAGTGACAATATACTGGATGATATTTAAGCATTATTATGAAAGTCAGTCTATTTGCCACAGAACCAGAAATAATAATTTTTCTCTCATGGGTCTGTTTTGTAGTAGTTACTGTTCAAAGTCTGCTCTGTACATGGATGATCATAACAATAAAACTATTGCAGCTGAGGGAATGCCATTTAACCAAAACAGTCACACTGATGTGTCCTACTGTGCAGATGCAGTCTTACATCAGTATATTGTTTTATGATGCTGCTGGTGTTCTTCTTTCATTCTGGAATAAGCTTTGGTGGGGTACAGCTTCTCTTTTTAGTGGGATGCTGTTCCATTTCCCTGACATCGGCATAATTATGGCAGTATGACTACAGCCTAGAGATAATCTTTGTATCTTTATTCGAGCTGCAAACTGCAGGTCACCATATCATTATGGAAATTTAAATCTTGTGTGAGATTGAGGGAGTATAACCAGGCCTGTTAAAAGTGATGATGCTCTTATGTCCTAATTATTACATTTTTATTGGTTACACAGCTGTCTATGGTCATGGAAATCCATCAGCAGTGTGTTTAGTTTTCATGTCTGCCCTAAAGGTGTTCTGATGGGAAAAATCTTGTAAGACATACTTGTCTTGAGTCACCTTCACCTTGCCTTGACTCTAAAGGCCAAGGCATGACTACTTTCTACAAAATCTTTCTTTTCATTAAGTCTTCTATTAAGGTTCAGATTAGATGGCTGAAAGGGTATATAACTGGGAGAAAAAGTCCATGAAGTTCTAAAACCTCTTGGTTGAATTTTTCTGCTGTTTTCAAGCAGCAACTGCTTTTCTAGAACCTGCTGCATTGCATGTAATTGTATGGTGCTGTGTTGGGGACAGGACTTCCACAAGAAAGAAATAAAAATGCACAAACTGTCATATATGTTAATGTAATCATCATCTGGGCAGTTTCTGAGAGAAGAATGAGTATCTACTAAGTAAGACAGAAAGGGCTAGCATTTCTTGAAGGAAAGAATAAAAAATGAGGCTTAAGTGTGGCTGCTTCATGTACCTATAAATTAACACACAGCAGGAAGGAGGAGGGAAATGAATTACATGTGGATGGGGAATAGCAATGGCTTGTTTGAATTCAAGGACTGGGAAAGTGATTAGGTTATTTTTGCAAGAAATTATATTACACCAATATTTTTATTTGAAGAAATTGCAATTCCATTGCAATATATGCTAAGGTTGTAACTTAGCTTTTCTTCTCTGGGGAACAGACCTCTATTATATCTATAAATATTAAATGTGTTTGCAAATTTGCAAGGTTAATATTTTTGAAGCTGGAACCTTTCTGTGACTTAATTAATTTTTATAATACAGCAGAAAGGTTCTTCAGTGGTTCTGGTAGCCCCTTCAGAGGCTTCATTTAGTGGTTTCTTCGTGGTCCTCTCTTCCCCTGTAGAGGTTGGTACCCATGCTCCAGGAGACAAGAAAACTGTTAGGACTCCTTTAAAGTATCTTTAGATGAAACTTTGGATTTATTCTAACTTCTCTATGACTTTTATATTTGCTGTCTACCAAAGCAGTTATATCAACTTCAGTATTAATGATACTTTCAAGAAGGCAATTTTGGCTGCTTTTCAGCAAGCTTAGCAACATCCTGGGAAGGTAAACAAAGAGAAATTGATTTCAATATAAAGTCTTCTGGGGATAAACTCCTCACAACTTCTGTGCTAAACAGCTTGTTCTAAAATGCTCCTTCCTGGAAATCAAGTAGTATTTGAATGTTTTTTAAATTAAAAAAACCACAGAATTTTAAAGACATCAAATTAGTTTACAGTGTAGGTGCATTCTATTACATGACTATTAAAAAGTGCTTTAAGCCTAGTACATAGATCCTGTTTGCAAAGAAAACAGGAAGGAGAAAAGTGAAAGGCTGCATTGTAACTTGCTGTGAGCAGTGTATTCACAAGGCCAAAAGAAGAAATCAGCAACAGAAGACACCAGGCTTTTTTTTTTTTTTAGCACTTCTCAATGTGCTCTTCTATCAGACAACAGTGGAAACTGTTGCTGAGGTTAGAGGAAAATGCTAGAGTATTGCTAATTAGAGAGTGGGCAGCTGGGGCACCAGCAGCTAGTAGCTTTTCAATAAAGGGAGGGTTTGATACACAGTTTTTTATGTGAGTTGATTTTATACATTAATGAATTAAGAATATTAGAATATTCACATGGAATTTTTTTAGTAATTGCCTGTTGGACTTCCAGAAGAAGCAAATGTTTTGACATGTTGTTGTTTAAGGGAACGCCAGTGTCATAGTTTAACGTTCCTCTTCTCGTGTCTGTGGTGCAGCAGTTCTGCTGTGGATCCTGGTAACCAAGATGATGTACTGTCAAGCTGCTTTGCTTGGTGTTACACTTTGCTATGTTGCAAAACTATTACTGTTTTGAAGATCTATTCTTCTTTAAATGCACTGGCTAAAGAGTTAAGTAATTACACTAAACTGTACTTACTGGATAAAAATCAATTGCACGATGGGTTTGGGTGGTGAGATTGTAGCTTTTATAACACTGCATGGAGTTAGAAAAGCAGACAAGTATTTAGTTGTGCACACCCACTTTAAAGCAGAAGTAAGAGACTTCAAGATACAGGTTGGGAACAATTGCTCTGCATCCAGTTTAATGATGTACATCCATTTCAGAATGTGAAGAAGGTAGTTGGCTGGCTGGAGACCTGGGAGCCACAGCAAAGGTGGCAATATTCTTTAGCCACTTTGGGACAGCTACCAAGAGACAGGCTATTTTCACTCTGAGAGTAGGAGGGAGTTAGCTGGCAAGGATACATAGGGAAAAAATGAATTGAGCCATAAAACCGATCTTTCTTCTTAAAAATAAGATCTTTAGTATATAGTAGATCTGTCTGTGCATTTTCATTTCTATGCTTTTCATCTGAAGACCTTCCTTTTGAGAGTCAGAGTTGAGCCATCAGAAGCAGAACAACTCCCATACAGAATTACCTCATTTACAGCCAGGCACGTGTCCCTTATTGACCACATGCATCTTTTCTGCTGTACGTTGTGCCGCTATGGATTCACCCACGCAGTTTGCCTGAAAACACTTGATGATTACATGACTTACACCACCTTCTGGATCACTTTTGTGGGTTCCAAGGAGTTGGCTGGTTTTCTGTTCCAGGGTGGTGTTGGGGGTGGGTGGGGTGATGTGCTGGCAGGTGTCGTGGTTGGTGCTCTCTGGCAACTGGGGTTTGTTTGTGGTGTGCTGGTCTGTGCTTCTGATGATGAATCAGAGGAAGTATTTTTGGAGGTGATAAAAGTTTCTGTGAAGATATATAGTCATCTAGTGCAGATTATAGTGGTTAAGTAATTTTTAATGTACAATTTGAAGTAGGATGATGTGTGGCAATAAGGGGCCCCTGCCTGCTTAGAAGGTTTGGTTTCTTGGGACTAGTGCAACTTCATGTGTGCTACTCTGGTTTCTCCTGAAGAGAAACCATCCAGATTCTCAAAGTGTGTCTTTAAAGATTGGTTGTATATTGAATGGAGTTTATACCTTGAGTGCTGCTTCTGGAGAAAATGAGGCAGTGTCCAAGGGCCATTGGGAGCATTCTCTGGGCAGGTGCTTGTTATGATTGTGGATGTAGCCATGTTAGCCTGTGGATTTTCCCAAGCATGGCAGTTTGGAGGTTGTTTGACATTTGTCATTGTACCTCAGAAGCTGGTACCAACAGAGGTGGAGTTAGAATATTGTCTCAGTTTGGATTCCTATATTATTATTAGTTTTTTTCCTAGGTTTGGGCACCTGCAGGCTCTATTTCCATTTTATTTTTTCCTGGTTAAAGCAGATACATCTGAGAAGTTTATTGTGCTGAGGACAAAATGCTTAGTTTATGTTCATAAAAGAATATTTGAATGTTCAAAAGAAAACTTTCCAGATGAAAAGCACTCAGTCATTGAACAGTGTTTTGTTAAATAGAAGAGGTTTTTTGTAGCTTAATGTTCAGCAGTGAGAATTATACATCAACATTACATGTGAATGTCTTTAAAACATGTTTTGTAACAGATTGAATATGAGAAGAAGAAGAAAGAAGATGGGAAAAGAGCTCGAGCTGATAAACAACAAGTGTTGGACATGCTTTTTTCAGCCTTTGAGAAACATCAGTATTACAACATTAAAGACCTGGTGGACATAACCAAACAGCCAGTGGTATGTACTGCAAGTCTTGTAAATACAACCATTTTCAGTAGTTACTACTGTGTGTATTTTACATATCTAGAAAAGAGTTTAATATGTATTATAGGCCTTAGAAACTCCTCTCTAAGTATGTTTTACAACAAACTGAAATCACCAAGTTTTAAGTTCAGCATTGTAGGACAGTGTAGGATACCAAACATTGTAGTGAGTGTGCTTTTTCTTGACAGAGATGGTTTAAATAACCTAAATGGTCTCTTTTTTGTTTAGGTTTGCTTTTATACTAGGAACCTAATTCTGTAATGCTCTCATGTCTCCCCTGCTACTCCTGTCCTCACTGAAGCCTAGTTCTCTTGGCAGCAGCAGCTTATGTTAGTCTGTGGTTAGCCCTTCCCTCAGCATCTGAACTTTATTTTGGCACAGCAATATTCTTTTTCTATATTTCATGAAATTTGTATTAAATGAAAGGATTATGCATATTAGAAGCTCAGGCATCATGAGCTCAGGCTCAATGCCTCCAAAATCACTGGATTTCCTTTACAAATAAGGTAATTTTTAGGTTAAGAGTTTAGGTGGTTGATATTTAGGATTTATTTATTGCATTTAAACAGTGCTTTGATACACAGACAAGAAAAGCACCAAGACATCTGCCTATGTGATGGTTTTGTTGTCTTGCAGTGCCTGTCAGCCTCTTCATGTATGAACCATAACTTTCCAGTTCTTTCCCTTCTTTCTGTGTTCAAGCTTTCCTTGAGCAGACCACGCAAGAGTGGCAGGGTGACAGTGACATGCAAAGGACCTTCAGTGTTTTTGATGTTTTTCACTGCCAACTTCAATATCTATCCTCAACCCAGCTGCAGATTTCAGAAGACTTAAGGGGACTTAATTATGTTTGAGTCTAAATGGAGCAACAATGTCACAGGTTGTTCAAGCTAAGGCTGAAGAAAGAACAGCAACAGCTGGATTGTGGAAAAAATACTCTGTAAAAAAAATGAAGATGCTTACTAGTTTTGCTCACTTCACATTTAGAACGAAGTGTATCTCTGTCAGAGCATTTGTATAGGTAAACAGTCTGTTTGGTTAGAAGCTGCACAAAGATGTTACACAAGTAAAATCCATGTAGGTTCACTGCGTTCTAGTGCCTTGAACGAAACTTGAAAGTTGAGTAACATATCCATGTCTTCCATTCATTTATCTCATGAGTCAGCTCCATATCTGTGCAGCAGAGAAGGTGTGTGGGTCATGGGAGCTGAGAAGGAGGAAGGTATGGAGGAAGTGCAAGAAAATTCTAAGTGGCTTTTATTTTTGGTAAGAGAAGTGTGGCAGTCACTATCTCAATCACTTTGAATGCAAGCTGGTACAGATTTATCTCATCTACCATGACATCAGCTTGCAGTAGACTCCCACTTAAGCCACTGGAGAACTTGAAGTTACAAATAAATAAAGGTACTTTTCTTATGTAATGGTAAATGTAAATGGTAAATGAAATCCTTGCTATAGAATATGTTGCATGTTACACAAGAAGTTACTGCCATCTTTATTTGTGTCATGAAATCACAAAACAAGTATTTTCTGAATGTAAATGACTGCTATATTAGGGAAACCTGGATTTATTTGCTTTTCATTCTAATGCAAAATAACAATTTGCAGTAGTAGGCAAATCTTTTGCCACCTACCCAGATGTAAGTACTGAATACTTCCTGGAAATATTGCAGTAATTCCAGACTTGGGCTTCATTGCTGAGAACATAATACTGTCTGTGAGAAATCAAATATTTGTGAAGAATGGAAGCAGGATGGAGCCAGTGGCATAAGAACTGTATTTTTAAAAATTTTAATAGACTGTTTGGATTTTTAATTCTGTTTTAGCTTTAAGTAATGGTTATCCTAAATACAACAGGGTTTGTTTCCCCCTCAAAGTTTCAGAAGTATTTTTAGAGCATGTAAGTTAACTCCTCAGAAATTTTTATCCCATAATTCCATGCTAACATCTCACTTTATGTGGAAAAAATCATGAGGAAAGGTAGAATAGAGCGGAAGATGCTTTAAATATATGAACAGATCACCTACAGATGATTTTCTATGCTAGAATTATATGTACATAAACACACTGGATCCCTTTCTGAGAAAAAATTGTGGGCCCCTGATTAGCAATCACCAGGCTCTAAAATTCAGTATTTGGCATCACTGGGAGTAGTGTGGGGTTTCTCTCCATGGTACAGTGTCAGAGCACTATATTTCAAGATACATAGACCAGCCTGGTGCACTGCAGACCCAGGTGGGGAATCCTGGTTTCTAGAAGGAGAACTGATCCTGCAGGAAAAATCATAGCATCCCCTGAACTCATCTCTTCAAGCCACTTGCTCTCAGGTGCAGCACAGCACAGTGGGATTATCCATGTTTCATAACAGTCTAAAAACTCCAGCAGCTCAGTGTTGTCTGTGCGCACACAGTGATGTTTTGGGGTTAATGCTCTCAGCTGCCCTCCCTAACACCTCTCCTGCCTGGTTACCCCCTGCAGCAGAGGTGGGAAGTAAGTGGCAAATCCTCAGCTGCTGCAGTTCACAGTTCCAGCTTGAAGTGCTGTTGCCCGTGTCACAGACCTTACCTTGCTGTTTGGTTTGGGTTGGTTTTGTTCCATTTTGTTACACTCTTGGAAGTTTTCCCCTGAGAGAAGCAGAACTGCCTGGATAATTAGGTCTGAAAAGTAGTTGAAATTAAAAATAGCCTTCATGTAGCTGGGTGGGTGGGTTTGGGTGGGTGCTGTGGAAAGTTCAGCCATAGTGGTTTTACTCTGCCTGAGGCCAGCAGCACCATCTCACCTTGTGACCCAGCTTCCCAGGCAGACTAGATCTGCCAGTTCAGGAACTGCACATCAGTGTACCTCATGGCACTCACTGAGTGCAATTATGGGGGATTTTTTCCAGTTCTCTGTCCATGTGAACTGGAGCAGCAGAATTTAACCTTGCAGCCAGGTGTTTGTCCCACCCACTCTGCCATGCTCTGAGGTGTCTGTCGGTGACACTGCCTCGTGTGCAGGCAGTGGGAATGCAGGTGTGCACATCTGCACACACCCATGCAGAAATGGCTGTTTCACCTGCTCCCAGCGCCTTCGGCACCGTGCGTGGGGCATGGCTGCCGTAGCAAGCTGTGTCCCGGGTAGCTGAGGGGAACAATGACGGCATCGCTGCAACAGACGAGGTGTGCGAGGGGACACCGCGATCTGCTGCTGCCACCTGCTGGGGTGTGCGTCTGCGCCCCAGAAGGCCGAGGAGCCATCCCTGCACAGTGATGCTCTGCTCAAAGGAAACACCCTAGCAGACCCTAAGAAGCTGGTTTATATGCACATCCCTGGCAGTCACCTTTCTTACGTGTTGGGCTGCTTTGCACACTTTTGGTGTGTACCTGGAGAGGGAGAGTAAGGATAAGTTTTACTAAAATACACTTATTTTACTGACTGAGAACATATATTTTTTGTTCATGTATTTCCTAGCTTTTCCATTTAGCAAAAAGGGAAAGAGTGTAAGGAACACTTAGACAATCAGCCTTTCTTATTTTCCTGTGTCTTCAACATGTATTTGTTGGTTTTAATGGCTTGGAGTACGTTGGTATTTAGTGGAACTGCAGATGCAGAAAATACAAGCATTCCAACAACTCCAGTTCAATATAAGCACTCCAACAGGATTAAATTGCTCAAACTCGAGCAATTATGAATTTAATGTGGGGATTCTTAAACTGTGGTCTGTAGTTGCCATGACAATCCACTCATCTCAGTCCCAATTAATAATTAAACAAACAAGCAGGCTCTTGTGACTCTTAAGAAAATTACTGGTGTTTATTATAAAGAGCGAAGGAGGGCAATATCAGTGAGTTGTGTTTTGTCAAAGATTATTATACTACTGGCATAATAGCTCTACTTGTTATGGTTTTTTTCTTTCTCTTCCAAGCTTTAATATTTTAAGGTATTAGAAAATTCTCAGACACACACTCAGCTCTCTTCTAAAAATGAGGCCACAATAAAATGCTTAAAGCTTTGCAAAATGGCATGAAAACCAAAAGCTTGAGGCTTTGACAAAGTTTGAATAAGGCAAGGATTTTCAAGATAATCCCAGACCAAGCAGGAAGAAAGGTCAAGAGCTTTTAGCTCAATTGGAGGAATTCCAGCAGGAGGAAGATGTGTGACATAATAGTTCCCAAGAGGTGCAGGTAACTTCATTTCAGCAGCCCCTGGAGTACTTGCCTCTCAGAGGGCGTGCCTGGGAGCCATCACCTCTGGGGCTCCTGTGCTCCCTGCTGCATCCCTTGAGGCTTGTGCTAATCCCTGCTGGTGCCTGAGGGTAAAAGTCTATCCCAGAGTCCTTCCCACACCAGTTAGTGCCCATCAGCCAGCCAGGCTGTCTGCCTCTTAGGAACTGAGTCCGTGCAATTGAGCAGGTGTGCAGGAAATGTGGCAATTGCCTGCCTGTTTAATTTGAACTTTTGTTTCCTTTCAGATATACTTGAAAGAAATTTTGAGAGAAATAGGCATCTACAATGTGAAGGGGACCCACAAAAACACATGGGAGCTGAAGCCGGAATACAGACATTACCAAGGAGAAGAAAAGAGTGATTAACAAAAATATTTATGATGTAAGAGTGATTGCACTCAGGGATCTGTGGTGTTCACAGAGAGGACTGAGCACAGTGCAATTCTGCAAAGATAAAGTTAAATTAAAGCAGCTGATACTTTGTAATTTTCTGTAGCTTTTTCCCCCAAGTAATATTTCTTGTATGTTTCTATATATGCTTTGTTTTTTGACAGGAAAAGTTTATAGAATAAACTTGTATTAGATTTATCTTTACTAGAAATCCTCTGAGTTCTCCTCTTACTTTTTCTTCGCAGCTTCGTGGCTTTTCCTAGTCTTGATAACTGATGGAAAATGTGTCTTAGAGGAAACCATAACTTTGTGGGTTTGCATTCCAGTGTAACCAGGTTAATACCCTGGGTTCTGCTGGGATCTGTCAGGGCTTTGTCTGGAAGCCTGCAAATGTGCACAACCCTTTGTGCAGTGTTTGTGTGGAATGGACATGCTGCTCCTCCTGGTATCAGGCTTTAGAAAGAACAGCCACAACCATGGTGCTCATCACAATCCTTAGACTCCCTGGGAACAAACCAATGTAGTTAAAAACCCATAAAGTGAGTGGGAAGATGTCAGTTCCCTCCATGTGATTACTGAGAAAAAATGACATGTCTGTTAGGTACAGAAAGGAACAATTTTCTCTTTTGTTTGGTTTTAATGCTGATATCTATGTTCTGTTTAAGTATATCAATAAAAGTATTATTTTAATTTGTACCACACAATATTGACTTGAACACATTATGATTTAGGTGGGATAAGTCTGAAATGCTTTGTTCAAAGCATGTTTTTATTGCTGGCTTTGCCACTGGGTTCCTCTGTGGTTTGGCAAAGATTGCTAAATGTGTCTGTGTCTCTATTCCCCCATTTTTTAAATGCACACTGCAAGGGTTATTCCTTCAACATCCTTTTTAGGAGGGAGCAGGGAAGGAACTATTTAATGATATTCTCAAAGCTTTTATGTTAGAGCAAAGAACACAGAGTGGAGATAACCTCATTATTATACCTGTAAACTAAGCAGGTGAGGTTTGATAGCTCAGCTTTCACATTCTCTCATGTCCTTCAGGTGTACGCATCATTGCTGCTCACCCTGATGCCACAGGAGATCTGTGTGAGAAGCAAACATTCCATTATTAGTCCACTTGGAAGCAGTGAAAGGCTTAGGGAGTGGTCAAATGCTTTCAGAGGTCTGTAAAACAACTCTTACACATAAGTCACACAATTTTGCTCAATTCATTTTTTTCTAGAGTTGTTTGTTTAGGTATCTCTCTACAGCTACATTTTGAGCTGGTGCTCAGCATCCTGTGGCATTTAGTGCCCAGTTCCCAGGGAGGGACTGCTGAAAGTTTTGAAGAACAGCTCGCATTCCAAGGGGGTGTGTGCTTTCATAAATACTGCCACTGACTCTTGTCTCCTCGGGCTCTACAGCAGGACCCCACTGGCAGATGGCTGCAGGAGCCATCTGAGGATGCTGAGGAACACAGGAAATCAGCCTTTGTGTCTTGCTGGAACATGAAGTGCTCCCGGGCAGTAGCCAGGGCCTGCTCACACTGCTGTCCTCATCGTACGGCTCGAGTCCTCTGTGGACTTGTGTTCAGGGATGAGTAGGATGAGAGCTCTTGCCTTTCATGAGCTGGGCTCCTCTGTGCGATCTGTGTCCTGTTTCAGCAGGTGAAGCTGAAGCACCCAGCAAGTCTAGGTAAGCTTCTCCATTTTATTGCCCCTCATATGATCCTCTAAAACCATGCAGGGAGATGCCATGCAATCCTGGTTAAGTTGTGGTGTAATTCCTTACCACACGTAGAAATGACTGTGGCATTCCAGAGAGAAATGGGTACCTTGAATGGAATCTCCAGCAGCAAAGTTTAGGATCTGCTTGTATTTCTGGTTTTATGTGAGCTGGTTCACAGTTTGTCTTCAGTCGAGAGGGACATAATCAGTCAGCATGAAATGCCTGAACATGTAAGTAAAGGAGGTGTTTTATTGATCTGCAGAGTGCCTTTGGACAGGGTAAATAAGCTCTGCTCAGGAGTAATGGAAAATGTGCAGAGCACTACGTTTTTTATGGGGTTTATGGTGTTTGCAAAGGGCTGATTTTTTATGGGTATCATTAAAAACGTGTAGAGTGCTAGAAGTAAACAGAAAAAAGAAGCAGTGGGGTTTTCAACCAGTGAGCAACCAGAAAAGTTGAGGGATGCCAAACTGTACTTCTGTGAAGTAGCACCAGTTACAAATAATGAGCAGGACAGTGAGGAAACACCATTTCAAAAATGGAAATGCTGTATCAGAGTAAACTAAGAAAAGATAACCAGTGGAGAGTCCAGAAGCCAGGTAGCTTGTGAGCTACTTTTTTACCTGCTTCCTGTATGATTTTAAAGTTTTTCTAGCATGTCAGGGTATAATTGGAATTTTACCCTCAAAAGCTGCCACAAAATCCAAGTGGCATGAGAGAAGGGAACAATGAGCTCACAGAGATGCTCATCTAGAGCGTGAAAAGATGCTCTCCTGTGCTGGCAGCAGGACCTGTGCCATGCATTGAAAGGCTCTGCTGGCTCCTGCCTGGTGGGAGCACGTGGTAAAGATGGAGTCTTTAGGTGCCCTTGGCAGGTCATCATCCAGCCTGCATCCGAGCCATGGGATCTTACAGTACAAACCATTGTAGAGACAGAAGCAGCAAGATAAATATGCCGCTATGAGCCCCATATTCTACCTTCTGCAGTAACCCAGGACACTGCAGGACTAAATTCATGCAAGGCTGGGATAATGACTGAGCATTTGGGAGAACCTCGTTTGGATCCATCACTTAATAACCAGGAAAAGCTCTGCAGCTCTGCTGTGCTTGTTCTGCACGGCACCCTTACACAAGTGCTGTTGGCAGGATTTCCATCTGCCAGAAGAGAAGAGGAGGCTCAGAGGCATTCAGGTCTTATTCCCTGGCCCCTACATTTGGATTAATTTAAACTCTGGACTCACAGCAGTGATGAACAATTCCCTGCTGGTCTTCCCATGTGCTGCTGTCTCTGCTCGATGCTGAACTCTGCTCATGCAGATGTTCTTGAATATCAGCGGTCAAAATGCTGCTTGGTGAGAAGGTCCCACAGGCATGAGCAGAAGTTTCTGTGTGCTAAATGCCATTAAATGAGATTAAAAGCAAGTCCACTCTCCAGCCTTGCTTGACCCGAATGACCAGTTTGAGTCATTGGAAATTGCATACAGAGGAAGCTCAGGCAGTATCAGCAGGGACCTGAGCAGACATGAGGTGACAGCCACCCCTTTAGAAATCCCCTGCTCACTCAACCTCCCTTCTCTTTCCCACCCCACCAGGGAAATTCTCCTCCATTGCAGGAGAATCAAAGTAAAACTTGTGTGTTAAGAACAGTTTCATAACTGAAAATTAATAAAATACAGTAGTAATGGTAAAAAATTATTAAAATGCTAGTAAAAAAGGAAAAACAAGTGATGGACAATACAAGTGCTCATCACCCTCTGACTGATGGCAGAACCCCCCCTTATGGGTAAGTTCCCCCGTTTATATACTGGGCACGGCATTCTGTGGTGTGGAATATTCTGTGGTGTGGTGAGCCCAGGGCCTTTGTTCTAGCTGTGCTTTCCTCCCTCCCCCGTCCTGTTTCTTTTGCATCCCTTCTCACTGGCAGCACATGAGACAACAGAAAAACGTCCTTGACCTAGGGTAAACACGACTTAGCAGAAAAACAACATCAGTGTGTTACAAACACCGCTCAGATTCCAAATCCAAAACACAGCACTGTAACAGCTACCGAGAAGAAATTAACTCAGAAAAGAGCATGGCTGAAAATCAGGACATGGGGGTACCGGGATGGCACACGCTGCTGGGGGTGGCTGGCAGGCTGGGGCAGCTGCAGCTGGTGGGTGAAGGGCAGAGTTGAAACACCTTTTTGTGGGCAGCATGAGGAAGCACCAGCAGCTGCAGGCAGTTCTGTGGCTGCAGCAGCACAGCTGCAGGGACAGCAAAATCATCCCTCCCTACTGCCATGGGAGAGGCCAGGGGCACCCAGCTCAGGTCAGACACAACTGTAGGTAGAGCAGCCAAACCTCAGCCCTTGAACCAGACAACTCCAGTAGCAACACTGGGGTTTTATTAGTTGAGGAGAACAGGAGTACACAGCTTTACATGGTCATTTTTCAACCACTCTGCTACAAGTAATTTGGGAAGCTGATCTTTAAAAAGCTTTCTCAACATTTATGTTCATGGACATTCCCTATTAAAAAAAAAAAATAAACAGCTGGACTGCTTTGTGCCAGCACATCTGCACCTCACTGAGATAGGAAAAAGAGGTTTGCTCTCCCAAATGCCAGCAGTGCTTCCTTCCTACTGCTGCTGGTTACAGATGGGGAGGTGAATCCCAGCTGATAGCTCCCAGGATAGTGTGGGCTGCAGAGAAAACAACGGTTCAGCATTTTATCAGTAAGTCCAGCTGCTGCCACATTGGCAATACTGGCATCACACAACCAAAATAGCCTTAAAAATGTCTTCAAGGGTGTTTGGATCCCTTCTGCCTCAGGTGGAAGGTGATGAATGCAGCTCTAGTGGATTAAAATGCCCAGCAGCCATGTGCATGCTCAACACCCCACCCACTCCTGCAGAACACACTGGCAGGGTTGCCAGCATTTGCTGGCACTCAAAAAGCTCCCTGAAGCCACCAGCCCTGGCCACAGGCACTTGGCTGTGATCTTTGCACAACAGCTTCCAGCTGCAGCTTCCACCAAAAGGCAGCCAAGACACAGGGACTGCAAACCAGCAAGATTGTGCCCTTGTGAATGGATTCGGTACTGTTTAGGGCAAAAACGTCCAGGCTTGGCTAGGGTTTTTGCCTCCTAGGAAGATGTTTATCCCTGAGCTAATGAACATGGTGTTTAACTGCTGGTCTCCCACTGCCAGCTACAGTGACACAGATTTCCTGGTCCAGAGCAAAACATCCCAGCTTACAATGGCAGCAACACCCCAGGGAAGTGGTACAGAGCTAAAGTGCAGATGGAGGTTCAGGAGCAGAGGGAGACATCCTATCTGCTCCAAGTGAGCAGCAGAGCATGAGAAAGCAGAAGTATCTTGATGTGGATACTACTGCTCTTTAATGAAAGCATCCTCCCTGAACAGCTGCCCACTGCCAAGACTGAAGTGGGCTGGCCTGTGCCAGCTCAACAGCCAGGGACTTGCTTAGGGAAGTAAGCAAATTGCAGCTTTTCCATTTTTTTCCAAATTAAAAAAAAAAGTCTTATTTTATTTGGAAACAACCGTGTCCTGTGCTTATTGTAACTGCCTTCTGGCTGTGAGCTAAACTGAGTGAAAAATTCACAAAGAGCCCCCAACACAAATCAAACCCAATTGTGTTTCCTACATACTTTCATTTATAATCTTCCCTTTGCAAGTTCTCCCTCCTTGTGCCAAAGCTGAGGGCTGCACAAGGCTCAAAGACCAACACCCACTTGAGCTCTGGCATCCACCCCCAGGTCAGTGGGCAAAACTGGGCACCCCAGAGGGGCAGTGGGGGACACCAGTGCCTCTCCCAGCACACCAGATGTTCCCTGCACTGCATGAACACCCCCAGCTCTCCACCCTTTCTCCTCCAAAACAGATGGCCAAGCAGCAAAATGGACATTAACATCAGTGAATGGGGCATGGAAAGTGTTTGGGGTTTTTTGCTTGCTCCCAGAGGGCAAAAATAGCATGGATTTGTAGGTGAGGTAGCAAAGACAATATTATTGTAAGACAATAAGACATTGAGGGCAAAAAGTCAAGGAGACAATGGGACATGTGCCCAGCACAGCAGCTGCTTCCTTCAGCCCCAAGGGATCACTCCTTTAACCACAGAAGCCTGAAACTAGAAAGGCAGGTTTCTGTTTTTAAGCAAATTAACCTTCCTTCCGTCAGCATCCAGCTCCTAGTGGGTGCAGGAGTGGCCTCCTGGCCCCACAGAGCCTGAGACCCCAGCCAGCATAAGGGAGATTTCTACCCAGCTGCTTAACCTGCTCCACAAGGCTCAGGGAAAATGCAATTTGGATCCTTCCCAAATCCACTGAAAGTATCTTTCCAAGAATGCGAGATGCAAGCCTGATAAGCACATTCTAAAACAAGACTGGGCTAAGTCTTAAAGCTGTCCTTCAGTTGTGTATTTTAAGCAGCACCAAGCTAATTTGTTATCATGGGGAATTTTATCAATTTAATAACTCCAAAGCTGTTGTCTGAAGTATAAAGACTTTCCTTTCCAAACCACTTCAGCTTTTCAGGCCCAGGAACAAAACACCTGCTTGAACTGAAGACAGGCCAGAAGAAGAGGAATTACGCCATGAGGAAATACACAGACTTCCTCCCCAGCACAGAGCTGTGTCATGGACTGTGGGCAAGTGCATTTACCAGCACGGGCTCCCCTTCCCAGCATGCAGTGACTCCCAGCTCTCCCTCAGCCTGACTGCACAGCAGGCAGCTACCACAGCAGTGCAGCTGCGACAAGCACTTGGCACTGCCGCAGTCCTTCCCTGCCACACCCTCCCTGGTGCATCTGACAGACGTGATGCTGCAGAGCAGCAAGGCTTATCCTGAGAAACTGCAGGCAGCAATGCATGTTTGGGAAGTGCAGTGAGCCCAGCAAGAACATTTCACTTGCAGCTCACTGAAGAAACAAACAAAACCCCACATCTCCAGAGCCTCTGAACTGGCACTTCTTACAACAAGGTGAAAGGAGCCTTCCCACCAGAGGCTTGCCGTGCAGAAGAGCACACCTGCTTGGAGCACAGGATTCCCTAGTTAGGAATGTTTGCACACAGCAATTAAATACCCCAATGAGCCTGGAGTACAGACAGGATGACACACAATTTGCCATTCAACCAAGCAGCAAGGCCGTGCTCATTGTGCTCTGAAGCACCTGCTTTTCAAAGCAGCTCTCCATCTGTACGCAGGTGCCACGTGGCAATTTGCTCCAGGCTGGTGCCCAGGGCTCCCAGCCTTGGCAGGACCAGCCAGCGGGGGGAGGAGTCATTTCCACTCCCACATATCAGCTCCAGAATTTTAAACGTTGACTCACAGGAAGTTGGAGCCAGGGCTATGAGGGGCTGCACAGGCATACCAGCACTGCCCTGCCCACACTAGCTTTACTCAACTGAGGATTGTTTGCTCTCCCTCTCTTTTAATGTTCTCATTTTTAATGAAGATGCATCAGGAAAGGAGAGAACATCCTCACCTGACCTCATTAAACACATCCTCTGCAAGAAAAAGCACAAGCTGCCTCAGTGGCTTTATCTAGGCTTTGAACTTGCCTCCCAGTCTCAATGGGTGAAGCAGGCTACACCAAAATTGCACCTCATCCACCACAGCTGACTCAAAATCCTTTACTGAAAAAGCTTAAAAATCAAATAAAAAAATTAAAAACCCATATATATAACGTTCCCACATAACTAAAATAGGGTGTATTTAACCAGACAGGAACCTGGGAGATAACTAGGGCAGGCTCCACTCCCTCCTCCAGTCTCTCACTCCTCCCAGCTTTCTGCCACATCTATCTCACCCCTGCAGAACCCCCTTCCACCTCCACCCTGCAGCACCAGGGGCCAAAAATTGACACAAGACGGCAAAGATGTGAAAACCCCAAAGGAGATAAACAGCAAGTGGGCCATGCCCTCCCCTTTCACGCACCTTAGCCTCCTATGCCTCTGCCATCACTGCAGCAGGAAAAGTTAATGATTAGCAGTCCAAAGCAACATCCCTGCTCAGGAACAGAGTCAGCAGCAACACACATCCCCTTGATCCAGGTGGGGCTCTGGATCTGGAAGGAATTTGTGTTCCTTTATTCAATCCAAACTGCCACCGGGTCAGACAGGCAGAAAGCGCAAGGAACCTGTTACTGTTGCATCTCAAAAGAGAACCTGAGAAGCAACAGTGTTTGCTCCAGGTCTGTCAAACAGATGCATTCCCTAACAAGGAACACAGCAGGAACATAACTTACAAACACTCAGGTAAGTCCTAAATACAGGTATACACCTGGTTTGGAGGACATCTAGGGCAGAGCTAGGCCATTCCAACATCGCTCTCCAAGAGGCCAAGTACAGAAAAACCACAAATCCTGCAACTTGACTGAATTCTAGTTCATACGCTCCCCAACAGCTGTCAAATTCAAAGTACCACAGCCAAGCTGTGTTAGAAAACTGAGCCATTTCACCTTCTCTCCCCAGTATTCCCATTCAGCCTCCTGCCTTGATCTTGGAGACCTGCTATAGCTCAAGAGAGGCTCAAGTGCTCTTGTCTGAGAAAGCAGTTCAGCGCCAGCACTCAGCTTGAGTAGCACATATTCCATTCTGGGATGTTTTTGTTACTAATTTCTTATCTCTTCCAGACATAAGACTCTGCAAAATCACAAAAGATGGTGGTCCATTCCATTATGGCATTTCTTGGACTTTGCCTTATTGATATCAACCTGCTTTTGCACTCCAGTGCCACAGGCAAACTGTGAAATCTGTCTGGAAACAGTCCAGTTGTATTGCTCTAGCACCAGCTGTGCTACTGGCAGCATCAATCCATGGTGCAACCTCTCCTTCAAGTCACCTTGAGAGACACATCAGACCAAAAGACATCACCTAGAATGGGTTTAAATGAGTTTTATTTTAGACAACCTACATGATAGATGTTTTTTTGTTTTTTTTTTAAACAATGCCTCCACTCCAAATCAGGGTCAAAATAAGTGAATAAAGCTCAAGATGACATCAGTCCAGTTAGACATTGCTGATTCCTGGTGTTGTGCCGATGAAGAAGAAACAGCAGCCAGCTATGAAGACAAGTGATCCAAAACCATACTGTTTGATTTGTTACTGAAACAAGAGTAAGCAAGTGTTAGTTAAAGGTCATGACATTATCAGCAAGTTTCTGTAACTTGTTTGTGTATTCCCTAATTCAATCTGGGCTGCCACAGTCAGGCAGGCAGAAAGCGCAAGGAAGTTATTTTTGCATCTTAGTGCAAACCAGGGAGCAACAGGAAAAGTGCTCATGGTCTATCAGAGGATGCTGATCATTTTTACAATTGTACAGAGCAACTGGCACCCACCAGCTGCTAAACAAGCCAGGCTGAGCACTCATTCACACCCTTTCTGCTTGACACACCAAGGTTCATGTTTCCCCTCAAGCACATCCTAAACAAGTATCAGAGCTTACAATGTACCCAGCTGTCTCTGAAGAGAGCTGCACTAAGAAGCTGAAGCAGGTTTTACTGCATGTGGGAACACCTTGCTACTGTTCTTTTACTCCACCTTGAAGTAGGTGGAGTTATCCAAACAACACATCCAAAAGGTGTGCCCCCATAGAGGAGATGCACATAAGCTTTTGCTCCCTGGAGGTGCCCTGCAGGTGATCACCTGTTCCAGGGCCAGAACAGACATCCCCCCTCATCAGGCTGTGGGAGGTGCTGTGTCTGTCTGGCCAACTGAAGTGTTCCTTTAATTGGGCTACTGCTCCACACCAGAATCTGGCTCATCTTTACATGACTTGCATACCAGAAAGCCTTGTGAGAGGCTTTACAGATAAATTTAGCTGTCTATATACAGACTTGACAAGTCCACAATGGGCAAGGCAACTGTTGGTCCCACACTGCAGTGAATTCCACAGGTGTCCAAGCAAACCAAAAACCCACAAGTGTTGAGATCCAAATACTATCTTGTGGGCAACCACATTACAGACCATAGGAGCAGACCACAGGAGCTCAAGGAGTTGGGAGATCCCAGATAGAAAAAAGGTTAAGTACCTGGTCAAGTAATACTGTGTTCCCAAATTTAGGGCAATATTTATACTGACAGTTCTTGTATAAGGGCATCAGATTAAGTGAAAGAAGACAGAATATGACCATGCAAGGTACTTCACAGTTAACTGCCAGAAAAGAGATCCAAAGTAGAAGTGCTCCATTTCAGAGGACCTGCTCTTTAATCTAATGGTTTAAAGCCATTCCCAATTACACACATCTCACCAGGGCCATCCCTTCTGCATTTCTTGGCCATAAGTCACCATGAGTCACAGCAGTGATATACATCCCCTTTTAGTACAACTGAATAGTACTCAAAGTTTCAGGCATTTTGTATAATATTAAAGCACCAATCAGGCTGCACTTGCACAATTCTTAAAGTTTTCAAACTGGCAGCTACTGTTCAACAGGGATACAGGAGAACAAAAGATGAAGGAGCTCACCATGTACTTGGGTACATTAACTCAGTTCAGTTCAGTACTTACACATTTCTCGATTTCTAAGCCGTCCTTAAAGAAAATCATATATGGGGTCACACCATCCTCACGGAAATCCAGGAGAGCCACCATTCCATCTGGATTCATGTTCTCCCCTACAAAGAACTTCAGAGGAATGTGTCTCTAAGACATTTAATTGGCTAATGCCAGGAGAAAATGCCTTTTTATACAATACTTTTGTATAAACAATGCAACATCACCAAGCTCAGTTTAAAAGTCTCCCTGACTAGCCACAGGGATTTTCATTCTCTGCAGATTGTCAATCTTTGTGCTACCATGGCTGATACACCAGAAGAAAGGGATGCTATCCAGAGGGACCTTGACAGGCTGGAGAAGGTCTGATGTTTTGTTGAACATCACAAGGGTCCATGGGAACCTTGTGATGTTCAACAAAACAAGTGCAATGCCCTATACCTGGGTCAGGGCAAGCCCAAGCACAAATACATGCAGGGCTTGGGAACAGCAGCTCTCGGGAGAAAGACTTGAGGTGTTGGGTGACACCCAGCACTGTGAGCTTGCAGCCCACAAACCCAAACATCCAAAGAGGAGTGACCAGCAGGTCAAGGGACATGATTTTCTTCCTCTGCTCTGCTAAGCCCTCACCCAGAGTGCTGCATCCAGCTCTGGAGCTGGGATCCCAACACAAGAAGGATGTGGATCTGCTGGACCAAGCCTAGGTAGGCCACTGAGATGGTCAGAGGCCTGGAGCAGCTCTCCTATAAGGACAGACTGAGGAAGTTGAGGCTGTTCACCCTTAGAGGCTCCAGGGAGACCTTACAGCACCCAGTATGTAAAAGGGACTACAAAAAGTCTGGAAAGGGACTTTGACAGGGGCACATGGCAATAGGACAACAGGAAATTACTTTGAAACTCTAAAGAGGACAGATTTAGATTATATATTAGGAATAAATTCTTCACTGCGGCACTGGTGAGACACTGGCACAGACCGACCAGAGAAGCTGTGCATGCCCCATCCCTGGCAGTGTTTGAGGCCAGGTTGGATGGGGCTCTGAGCTACTGGGTCTAGTGGAAGGCATCCCTGTCCATGGCAGGGAATTGGAACTCGATGATGCTTTTCAACCCAACACCTTCTGTGATTCAATAATTTTACCTTGCTGCTATGAACAGAGCAAGAGACAGCAGGGGCCAAAGTGATCTACCTTCCAAGTCCAACTGCACAGTCCCTGAACCACCACAACAACAAATGTAGCTAACTACAAGCATTATCAGCTGAAATGAGACCACCAAAGAGCTAACAGTCTTTGGCTGTTTGTCCTGCCTGACTCTCAGGGCCCCTATTACTCTCAAAGACTGTCAAGTTAGCATCCCCACAACAGGAGCCATCAAAATTCTCAACAAGCTGTTCAGATGAACCAATCACAGCTTATCAATACTGCTGTAAGGAGACATAACTTACCTGGTAGTTTTTGAAGTTGGCAAGGATGTGTTTGATTTGTTCTGCAGCCCCAGTCATGAAAGGCTTTACTCTCTCTGGCTTGTGTTCCTCAAGTCTGGCTTTGATTCTGGAAGGACAAAGAAAAAATGCTCTGAAAACATGTTCTAGCTTAATACCTTCATTGTCTGGCAGGATGTCATAGCAAAAAGGGTTGACCCAGCTACCTGTCAAACTTAGATTTTGCTGCCTGTCCCCCCAACCTCCTCTCAAAGCCCCCAAATTTTAACTTAGCTTTTTAAAGTGAAATCACAGAACAGTACTTGCCACTCCTACCAAGGTTATTTTACAACCAGGCTAGTGACAGGCAAAAACCAGCAAGCCCTTTCCGCAGCACCAGGAGTATCACCCACCCGTATCATAAAGCTTTTTCACCTTCAGTATTAACCCCACTGAACACCAACCAACAGCTGTTACACCATGAACTAGCAAAAAGACCCATTCACACATGGTTTTTAGCTGTTTACACTGTCACTCTAGAAAAGCTTCAGAAGCTTTTATTTACCACCTCAGTTCCTCCAAATGAAGGTCTGGCATGGAGAAATAGAAAAGAAAACAGCAAAGCTACAAATAAGATCCAAAGCACACGATCAGTTCCTCTACCTCAGCCAAAATAAACACAGATATTCCATCCCCCATTCTTTAGAGCCCCAGTTCTGCCAAGCATTAAGACATTACTGAAGTTCACAGCCAGTTTCACACCCGTATCAGAATGAACACCTGATAGGAATAAATCCAATGCTGTTTTTTTACAATCTCAAGCACACAAAACCCCTGCAGTCCAACTGAAAGGAAAGGCCTACCAACACTTACGCTTTCATGTAATCCTTGATGTACTTCTTGTAGGATTCTTTTGTGAAGCTGGTCTCCTGAAGGTGGTGGTTAATTACTATGTCAACACCAGTTATGACCGTGGCTTCTGTTCCATCTCCCTCAGGACCTTCAGCAGAGGCATTGCCACCAATTAGAGAGTCATCAATTTGACCCTCTGTCCTGGTGACCATCTAGATTTAGAGACATCAAAACACTTAACGGCTCTGCAAAAAACCTTAGCACTACCGCTTACACTCCTATGACCTGACAGCAGGGCACAACTTGAGAGACATAGTTCAGTGCAAGGAACCTGGCTGCAGCTTGAGCACTAATTTCCCAGTGACAGTAAAAGAGGGAACGGGTTAAAATTGAAAGACAGTAGGTTTAGATTAGATATTGGATAGAAAGTCTTTACGTGGGAGGCACTAGCAAAGGTTGCCCAGGGAACCTGTGGATGCCCCACCTCTGGAACTGTTCAAGGCCAGGCTGGATGGGGCTTTGAGCAACCTGGTCTAGTGGACAGTATCCTTGCCTATGGCAAGGAGGCTGGAACTAGATGATCTCCAAGGTGCATTCCAACCCAAAGCGTTCTATGATTCTATGACTCCCAAGCACGACTCCTGCACGGTGCACAACCGAAGCTCCATTACACTCCAGCCTGGCTGACTCGGGCTCTCCCAGGCACCATCTACGGCAGCACGGGGCACTGGGCCAAGGTGAGTCTTCTCTCTTTCCCGGCTCGGGCTCTTCGCAGGGAGGCCACCCCCACTCCCCACCGGCCGTGAGTCACCGCGGCAACCCTTCCTTCCTCCCTCCCTCCTTCGGGGCGGGCGGGCACTCACCTTCCCCTCCACTTCCAGGCACAGGCCGTCCGCCACCTCCCGGATCTTGTAGATGTCCGAGAACATCTCATCCTCTGCAGGGACAGAGAAACGCACATACACACCCAGCCGCGTCAGCCTCCGCCTCCCGGCACCCACCACTTTCCCCCATCGCTCCCGCCCCCGGGCTCCGCGCCCCCCCCGCCCCGGCCCAGCCCCGCACATGCGCGCCGGCACCGCCGGGCCCAGCGCTCGGGCCCGGGCCGCGCTTCCCCCCCCCGCTCCGAGTGCCGGCCCAGCCGCCCCTCCCGGCCGCGCCGCCCCCCCTCCACGGCCTTACGGCTGATGCAGTCCCGGTAGATGATCATGGCGGCGGCGGGGGGCGGCGGGGGGCGCGGGGTCTCAGCGCAGCGACCCGGGCGCGGGGCGGGAGCGGGGCGGAAAGGGCCGAGTCAGCGCCTGCCGGGGCTCATATAGCGGGCACGGCCCCGCGCGTCACCGCGCACGCGCACTGCGCGCCGCCCCGCCCCTCCGCCAGCGGCGCCACCGCGCGGCCGCGTCCGGAACCGCCGCGCGAGGGGGGCGCGAGCGCGGGGTTCCCGGCGCGCGGGCCGGGGCAGCGCCACAGCGGCCACAGCGAGCACCGGCACCGGCACCGGCACCCGCACCGGCACCTGCCCGGGAACTGTCAGTGCGCCGAGGCCTCCCCTCCGCCTCCTGCAGGATCAACTCACCGAGCGACTTCATACGGCTTCCCCTCAGAGCCCTTCACCATCGTCACTGCCGTCCTTTGGACGCTCTAATAGCTCCATGTCTTCCTTACATTGTGGCGTCCAGCACTCGAGGTGAGGCCGCCCCAGCTCAGAGCAGAGCGGGGCAATCCCCTTCCTTGCCCGTCTGGCCGTGCTGTGCCTGATGCACCCCAGGACAGGGCTGGCCCTCTGTGTGCCAGGGCTCTGCTCAGATTCACCTGCCAAACGGCGAGCGGGGCTTCATCCCTCCCGAGTCGGAGGGGTCAGGGCTGGCAGGGACCTCTGGAGAGCACCCAGACCTGCCCCGGGCCAGAGCAGGGCTGGTGCCTCTCCCTCATTGCCGGTGGTTGCATTTCATGGGTTTCAACACCAATTTTCCTCTTGCTGCTAATCTTTTAAGCTCTCAGTAACACATTTCTTTTTGTCTAACTTCTTATGAGGTGTCCGGGATGTGTGATCACTGGCTCTTTTCTCATTACTCAGAGTCACTGAGCTGGGACGATCACATTTTCACTTTCTTTTGCCAGTTGGTGCAAGATGGTAGAGGTTTTGGGCACATCTATGCATCCTTTCTTTTTCTTCTTTTTTTTTTTTTTTCAGGGAGGCAGTTATGGATATCCACTCTTTTTTCCTTGTCTTGTATTAGGAAGCGTCTTTGCACCCCCATGTTCCAAACTAGCCTCCAGTTTAACACAGGCAGCCTGGTAAATCCACACACTGACTTTCCAAGGAGAAGTGCACCCAGCTCTTCCCAAGCCCCCCGGTGAAGCACTGCTGCCCATGTCCCACCACAGCCAGGGTGTCCCCTCCATGGCAGCCTGACAGGGATGTGTCTCTGTGAGCTGTCCTGGCCACTCCCAGCTGCTGCCTCCTCCCGCCATCCCCTCACGCTTGCTGAGGGGCTCTGGACCTTGCAAGGGCTGTGACACAGGGACACAGAAACTCATTCTGTTATACATTTGCTCTACTGTATACTGGATCTCCTCCAAATAAGTGATGTTTTGAAAAAATTTATAGGGAAATAAGTAGGAAGCTATGGAACTCTTCCTGTTATTACTCCCTCGGGGAAATTGAGTTGAGGATGTTCAGAGGCACTGCTTATGCACTCCTGAAAGGGCTGGCCGGGACAGGTATATTTTTATTATTTTTCTTATGAGGATAAGTGAGATTTAGCCCAGTAGTCAGGGTGAAGATAAAAGACAGAAGGGCAGTTGTGCCTAGACCTCTTTTTCCCTCTTTGGACTTACTTTTCTGCAGCAGCCTGTCAAGCTGAAACAAATCTAGACCTCACCTGAACTCTGATTCTTAAGAGACATTAAAAAAATACCTTTAAAAGACATCATGGGACCTGAAATGCTTAATGCTGCTAATGATCCTGATCTTGGCAGAGACATCAGGGCACAGGACACAATTCCCTGTCCCTCACCTTCCTTAGGCAGTGAATTGCTCATTGCTTTCCTTGTGTGTGCCAGTGGAGCTCCCTTTTTATCTCCTCCTTCCCTGCTCTTCCTTCCTTTGCTCCAGATATCAGTGCTCTTTTTTTTAAGATGGTCTAGCTTCTTACATAATCTAAGTAAATTTACAAGTAGTTCTCTGCTGGTTTTCACCTTCAAGACTACAGCTGCTATTTCAGGCCTGAAGAAGGAGCTTCTTCCCAAAAGCTTTTCCTGTTTTTTTTTTCTTTTCCTCAGTGGCATCTGGCCTGATAAAAGATAGCCCCTCTTTTTACAAACCACAATAAAAAAAAGAGCAACTTACATCTTTAGCAGTGCGGTGAGTGACAGGGGAACATTTGGCTCCTTCTACGTAGTGTAATATGCAGCTAAAAACATCCAGTTAGTAGGTGTGCTTCAATTTGGTTTTATTTTCAAGAGACCATTCTAGAAAAAAGGATATTTCTGCAGTAGTCCAGAAACATCTTACAAATTCATCAGTTGACTCAATTTGCTGAAGTCAGGGTAGAAAGCTTTAGCACAGTGTGGTGGTAAAGGGACCTTCAGGTTGCTTTGCCTTGCCTGCAGGTCTGTATTAGGAGTTGCAGGTGTAAAATGTGAGATGTCATTTAAAAATGCATCTGCTAAATGGGTCGAGGCTCCTGTGTGAACACCAGGAGTGTTTGATGTGGAGTTAAGTTAAATCAGTATCAAGTTGAAGTTAGCAGTGTTTTAATTGGCATAGGCTTCACTGAGGTATCAGTGCTGAAATTTTTCTGTGATCCCATATAAACACGGAATTATGTTATGTGCTGATACTTTGTGAATTTGAAATAGATTTGAAAATGCTTTTTTTCTCCCCTTTTTTTTCAGAAACCATTTGAGAAAACCTTAGTGTTCCTCACCTGCTTTCTGTCCAGGCAGCCTCTTCAAGCACTTCTCACATCCAGCCAGAGTTGCATTCACATTTCAGAGTGACACATTAAAAATGTGGTCCCTCCCTCCACCTTTCTAGTTGCTGATTGACAACCAAAATGATGTGAGAAGATTTCCTGATAGTGCACCTCACCTTTGGTGTTGTGTAAATCCCGAAGGATTGATGGAATCCTGTGGGTTTATAGAGGAGTCTTCCAACAATACCTGAGGAGGATTTTCTAGGCAGGTGTCTGCAGAGTGTCACAAGAAGCCTTTCCCATGGAAAGCCACACCTCAGACAGTTGTGAATTACTGCACTATTGCTTCCATCAATATTGTGTGGATATGGCTGTGCTCAAGTAATTGTGTCTTGGGTTAGAGTGCCAGATGACAGCTGATCCTGCACCATTCTGTCCCCAAATAAACAGTCCATTTTCAGCCCTTGTGTCAACTCCCAGAGCTGTAAGAAAAGGGAGGGGATCCTGCCTTCAGCTTCTGTCTCCTGCAGGGTGCAATCAGTGGAAATAAAGCAGAGGTGAGGCTGGAGGAAGAGAGGTGATACTGGGCTATGACATAAGGGGTGGCACCAGTGTGTTCTTCTAACCTTTGTAAAAGGCTGTGAAAGTCACATAAAAGTGATGATGTTTTACATCATTTGCCACGTGTGGGGGAGAGGATCCTAAGCATGCATCTATATCTGCTGGTAGAAAGAAATTGGAAAAAATGAGGATTAAAGGACTGAGCAAGCCCTGGTGCTGCAGAGAGGCTGGCAGGACAGCCTGTGCCCAGTGCCCCCTTCCCCAGTGCATCTCCCAGCACAAAGATGGGCGAGAGGATGCACATGATCAACTCATGTCTTCACAAACCTGTCTGGAATTTAGGACTGAAACAAGGAGCTGTGACTTTGTAGCCCTTCTTCCAACACACACAGATGGAAACTGTAGCTTTTAACTGGTTTGCTTCAAGTTGTTTCCCTAGGGCATTTCCAGGCAATAAAGATTTGATCACTATTTGTTACCCCTGCTTATTAATTGGGAATTGATCTTACAAAGCCAGACCATCAGTTTGATTCTTTCAGGTGAGTTTATGTTATGAATATAGTCAGACTTCCAATGCTTGGCAATCCTTTGACTGTTTTGGATCTCGAGCCAAAATTCATAATTTAGATTTACATTGGCAGTGTACTAAGCTAGAATCCCAGCTCCCAAGATTAATATTTGAAAGAGTTGAGCTTTGATCATTAGTGTAGCTTATCAGCTCAGATCTATTCACAAATGATAGACCATATTAGGCTGGACTAGATAGATTAAGGTATCCCAGACAAAGGCATCATTTTTAGATTACAAGGAAGGTCTTTGGTTGAGCAACAACCCCTCTAGCACTCACAACAAAGGCAGGTGTTCGTGTTCTTACCTTGGCATTTTCGGTATTGACTGTTCCTCTCGGTGGCTGCTGCACTTCTGCGAACAGACACAGAGGTCGCTGCGCAGCCACAAACCCCTTTTGCCTGGGGCACTGCTCACCCAGACCCTGCCCTGGGAGTGAGGCTGTCAGCCCGCACTGCAGCTGCTGCCTTGCTAGGAAAAACAGCACTGCGATTCCCAAGTTCACAACTATGAAGCAAGGTGCTGCCCACCCGCAATTTCATACTCATTAACCGTAGAAACATCCAGGTGACTGAAAGGGCTGTGGTGGAAATGTCTGCACCTGATCCTCAGGTCTGTGCCAGTGTGTCCCACTGATGTGCTCAATGATGCAATAGAGAGTGCATTCATTAAAGTGGCAGTAACATTACATTGGGAAGGACCATACGTGTATTGGAGATTAAGACTAGAATTAAAAAGTGATTTTGACACATTGGACAAGTGGCCTGAATTGTTAGAAGGCATCTGGACAAGGCCAGCCCATCAATGAGCAGTCAAACATTTGCTGAAAGGAAAACTTACCAAAGGCTTTTGAACACAAAGATGCAGTATAACATTCAAACAAGCTCTGAGCCACACATTACTAGAAACTGAAAGAGTGCATAAGGGAAGTGCTGCCTGATCATGGCCCTGGTCCTCTGCTTGTTGTAGGCTTCTGCTGCTGGCAAATGCCAGGGAATGCTGAGATGATGATGTGCTCCACGTGGGTGCTCTGATGTCATGCTCACAAATACAGAACAGAAATGATCAGCCATGGACACAGGACAGAGAACTGGGCAGCAGTTCTACAGAAAAGATCTGGGATACTGGTGGATCCAAAGCTGAACCAGAATCATAGAGTCATAGAAACATTTAATTTCAAAACAGCCTCTGAGGTCATTGTGTCCAGTCATTAACCCAGCACTGCCAAGTCCACCACTAATCC